TAAAAATTCAAATAAATAAATTTAATGAAATGAAGTCCCTAAACTCACTCCGTTGATTCTTTTTCATTTCGTACAATGTTTCCATTATGTTTATGTAAATAAGTCTTTTAATAAACATAAAAAAATATACAGCACTTATGGTACGTGCACTTTCGGGTCATCGGGTTTTCTACGTAAAACGGACAAAACTAATTCTAGGAAACAATTTCATTGATCGTAGAAACGGATGAAATAGTTTTAACATTCTAAACTATGAAAATTAGCTCGCAATATTTTTTAACGGTATCTTACTATAAAAATAAAACAAAAGGAGTCGTCTGATCCGCCGTGACCATGCAAGACTAATAAATACACCGAATCAATTTTTTATATTAATTGATTTTATTCCATACGTATGTAACTTTATTTAAGAATTCAATATTATATTTGGCTATTTGGTTAGATCTTGTTTATCTAATTTTAAATTGGTTGCGGACTTTCAAAATACCGCCCTTCGAATATGCCTAATATGAGATAACCGGGTCAGTGTGAAATGATTTTTCAGGTTTAATAATTCATTTGCCGAATTAAACCTATTTTTCTTTATTATTAGAAACAGTACACACAGAGTTTAATAGCAATTATTTATAATTATTTAGTCGGAAAAGTCGCATTTCACTCTTTTAATATTTGTTAATTTTTTTTTCTGTTTTGTATTGCAAAGAAAAAAGTATTTAAGGTTTCGTCAAAGGTCAACATGTTCAAAAATTTATTTTTACAATAGCCCAAAAACTATATGAGGTATAAAGTTAAAACTTTTACAGTTTATCAATTTTTCCTTGATTAACAGATAGAAAGTATCACTTGATAAAAAAAATACTTGGAAAAATTATTAATTGAAAAAGATTCTTCTTAAAAATGCATATATTTTCAAAAAATACACCTAATTAATTCAGTGCTCTTAGTGAAAACCATCATTGCAGTGAAGGGCAAGTTGGACTTGGATAGTCTCTGGAAAGTTGTTTTCCCTGTTTATTTTGTCCAAATGTTAAGACTTGAAAGTGAAAATACATTGTAAATGGCGGATTCTATAGGGGTCTTGTCTTTATACATGTCATGCTTTCAATAACAGCCTTTCAAAGACCATTCACGTCCAACTTGCCCTTCAATGATAAACATATATTATTTCTGCAATGATGGTTTTCACAAAAAGGAGAGAATAAAGCAGGTGCATTTTTTTTAAATATGCACATTTTCTGATACAATTTTTCTCCAAAAAAATCTTTTTTAAAAATATTTGTTATCAATTGATACTATCTATCTATTAATCAATGATATATCTATAAACTGTTAATGTTTTATCTTTATACCACACATAGTTTTGGAGCTATTGTAAAAATATTTTTTTAGACATGTTGACCTTTGACGAAACCTTAACCATTCAATGTTCGTTAATAAATACGAGGTTTTAAGTATCTGTAATGTAAAATGTTTACATGTACATAAGTCAGAGCTTAGCGTAAACCTACATGTGCAGTTGTAGCAGATTCATATTCTCATGACACAGTTTACATGTATTAATGCAGATCGCCATTATTTTAATAATTATTTAGATTTCTATTCAGAAAATTTAATTTCCTTGAACTGTTTCGTTCTTGATAGATCTATCATGTTAAATTTATTAATTTTGTTAAAGCCGTTTTCTTTAAACCTTTCTTTCGGCCAGTCCTCTACTTGTATTATTTTCTAAGATATTAATATTAAATTGCAATTTTTGGATACATCGCAGATTGTAAGCTTTAGACATTAAATACAAATATTTAATTTATTGCGTAAATTTCTTCCGTGAAATAACTTGGTACTTGTAGATAAATTTATTAGATAGAAAATTAAAATGTATATTTTTCATAAAAAATAAATCCGTTTATAGAGTTTCAAAATTCACACACTTGAGAAGAAATAAAAAAAAAATACAGTCTCCATTTCATAAAAATCCTTTTAATCACTGTCATTTTTTATATATATAAATAAACAACTTTTGTAAAATTAATACAGAGATCTCAGGTTCTTTTTATGATAATTAAATGTACTTTATAGTTTAGATTTGAAGCTCTGCGAGTATTTAAATTAAAATATAATCTAATTTAAATAATATTTAAATTTAATTCAAAATAATCTTTTCGTCTTGTCAAAAAACGTTCCGCATTTTGAAACAATCCTATCAGGTTTTGCGTTTATCCTATCGTGTTGATCGTTTATCAGGTCTATCGTGTTTTGCGTTTATCGTGTTTTGCGTGTATCGTGTTTTGCGTTTATCGTGTTTTGCATTTATCCTATCGTGCGTGTATCCTGTCCTATCGTGCGTGAATAACTTGTTTTATAATTTATATTTCTCTCGAAGAATTGCAAATTGTGTTCGTAAATTGTAAATTAATGATTTTTTTCTTAAAAAGTTTTGAAAACATAATTATACCAATAAGGCATTAAATAACTCCAAATAAGATACAGCCAAGGCTAAAAGAGTCAGCTTATTTTTCTGTAACATATTAATTCATCATATATTTTCTTTTTAAATGAAGTGCAAGAAAGACAACTCTGTGCATCTTTCTAACATAGATCGAATTTAAAAGTTACTCTGCATATTCTATACTCTAACCTCTATGTAGTCACAAAATATTTTAATGTAGTTGCATGCATACTTGAAAAATAATGCAGATTCTTCTTTTACCTGTTTATTTCTACTGATATACAACTATAACCGTAACATTTACATTTTTATTTCATTATAGTCTTACGGGTTTGAAAATTTTCAGCTTATCTTAATACATTGTGCATTGATAAAGGTTCAGATATTAAAACACAGTAAATCTTGAGTGTATTATTTGTTCTCAATGACCCTCTCCACAGCCTTTAAATATCCCATAAATTCCAAGTGTCGTCGATATTATCTACTCTACCGTGGAAAAACATAACGCCCACACTAAAAGTTTAAATCCCTAAAAATGCTCAATTATGTATGAAACACGTGGTTCAAATCAAAAACACCCGTTTTTAAATGAATGTGATTTTAAAGCTTTAAATCTAAAGAGTTGCGCTGTTAAACTGCAACTTACAATTTTTTATTTAACAATAGTTTCTATTAGTTTAACACAATATTTGATTACAGCTTAATTTATAAATCATTGCCAATTTATAAATTCTGTGTAAAGAGTGTACACGTAAAAATGAGTTTTAATATATTCCAACACTGATTTAAAATAACAAATAAGACGATTAAAAAAAAGTGGTTCAATGAACTTTTATTTTATATATTATGATATGTTCAAATCAAATTATTCGTCAATAACAAGTTGTTAAATTTTGTCTAAAATGTCCAAAGTAAATACATGTAATTACAAACACAAATTATCGTCTAAATTAGGATATCCTTAGATGTATATACTACAATCTGGATCTAAAAAAACTTCCAGCTGCGGCACACTATTAGATGCAGTGACACATAATTCTTCTTTTTGTGTTGTCCATTATTTGCCTGTGATTTAGGGAATGCCATATGATTGGGATCACGCTGACAAGTGATTCCCTCGAGGTTAGACCGGATCCTCGCATTATAACAACATTATAATTTTTCATGTGACCATAGAATGGAAAAGGTACATGTAAATCTTCGACATAACAGTCATTATCAGTATTGTTCTGATGCATAGAGATTTTAATCTCTCAGCAGATGAACAGCATCTGTAAAAATTAATTTTTTTTCAATATTCAGGTTGTTTCAAATGTCATATCATCATAGTATTAATTTACGACATAGTTTTTTTTCAAAAATATAAATGTCTATGATCCAATGTTTTAGTCAAATGTTTCAGGAATGACTTGCACTTCGAGCTCTTTCATACGTTTTTCCCCCTTTAATTTCGACTTTCTTTACGAAATTTGAAATATCTAAATAAGATTAAATCATCAACGAAAACAATCTTGAGAAGTCGTCGTTGATTTTTTTTAAAGATAAAATATTTCAATCTTCACCAGGTCTAAGAGGAAGGGTTTAGAGGTTAAAATTAAAATATTAAGAGACTCTCTTTGTCTAATTCTCAAATTTGCACCTTCAGTTGTGAGACTTGAATCAAAAGTGGGCCCAATTAAATTGTATGACCCATTACATGGGGTATTCCGAATAAAATATGACAAAGGAATGCAATATTTTAATAGTTACATATTTGTTTGTAAGAATTAAATTTAATTAAAACATTTATTCTTTAAATTCTCTGTGTCAAGTATGCAAGAGCCTATCATAAACATGTAGCATGAGCTTTATAAAAGAAATCATTCTTTCTAAAGAAAACAAAATAAAGATTTAATTTAAGATTATAAAAAAACTTACTTGACCCGGTCAGTGGGCATAATGTTTCTTTCTATTCTTTCTAAAGGATGCTGAGTGCTCGTGAAAACTCTATTTGTTGTGTTATAACATTGCTGATCTACGAATGACACATTGAAAACTTGCATAATGGTTATGTTTTCATTAATCTTTAATGGCTACACGCAGCATTATTCTGTGCAAAATTACATAAGGATCAATGTATAGGCAAGATAGATCTCTTACATTTGTAAGCGTTGTCCGACATATAATGCATAGGACAAGAGTTTTCTCTGTTAGAACACGAATGTTTAAAATTAGATTGAATCCTCATTCCTTCCTCGTTGTATTCGGTACATTTTCCTGTAGATATATAAAAATATAATGAAAGACGTAACAACATATGAAGATTTATTGATATGTCTAATAAATGTCTGAAATTAATCTGATAACACATTAAAATTAATAATGATAAAAATATTATCATTTTATAATTATGCTACATACGCAGAACAATACGTTTTCTGGGAGCACAAACTTCTATGGTTTTATTCCAGTGGTGATTTGGAAGGCAGTGATAAACAAAATTTTCTGCATTTGTACAAGATTGCTGAACTGAATCACAATTCATTTCGTCTTTTCTTCTCTTCCATTCCTCTTTGTTTTTTGGACATTTTGAAACTTCCTTGATAGTACGCTTAGATTCTGGGCATATTCCATATATATTCTAGAAAGAAGAATTTTGTTTTCTACGAAATTATGCGTGAAGTTATATTTTGAATTATTTTCATGCTATGAACTGTATTTATAATGGAATTATTAAAAGCTTAATTTAATTATCTGTACTAAATTTATTTAAAAAATAAAGTAAACGATTATGTGTATTTTAGTTAGATGTACAACATTAGCATTCTAGAAGTACAATATACTTTTTTGAATGTATTTTTGACATACTTTCCTATGACTTTTTCCTGCAGCAATATCAAACATTAAAAGAACAACAAGAAGCCTCAAAATAACTTTTCCTGAGGAGTACAATGTAACATGCATAGTCAACTTCAATAACCTGCAATGCAGATAACCTTTTCGGCTTTAATTTCTAACAAAAAGAAATTATGCAGTCTATATAACTCAATTTAAAAATGCCTTTTATGTAGGACTTTGTCATAAAGAGAGCGATACCTACCTTACTAAACTGTTATCGTCACTTAGATGTTTAAACGACATACGAAAATCAATATATAATATTATTAAAAAGAGAGTGGACATTGGGGATCCCTGTGGTTTATTCTAATCAACATCGTTCCAGAAATAGATCTAAATATATATGGTATTTTTCAATTACATCCGCAATATATTCTATTATCAGGTCGAAAATTGTGAACTGAATTTCAAACAATATAAAACAAAACTGACAAAATCTTACATATCTGATATGTAAATAGATGCATTAAATTGGTAAAACATTTTCAAAATAACTGTTTCAGGCAATCATATATGTGTTATATGTAAGTTCCTAATTAAGAGTGATTTGAATGGTGGTTATCGGTAACTGTACATGCAAGTCATGCCAATGTTATTCGATACTGTTCGATGAAATCTGGCCTAGGGAAAATCTTATTCTATTCCCTTCCATAGCAAAAAAAAAAATGCTATTTAATTGAATTAATTTGCACAGTGAAATGAAGCAAGACATGAAATTAGATGGAATTAAAATAAGATGTTATTCATATTAGTATTTCAAGAATGGTCAATGATTTCATTTTTACATATATGTGAAAATTAAATTTTTCAAGATTTCTAAACGTAATCCCTTTCAATAAAAACAAAAAAATTCCCAGCACCACAATTTTTTTTTATCCCAAAATGAGGAAATTTAAGGAAATCCACAATTCGTTTTTTTCTAATACATTCTTAAGCCTAATATAGTACACATGGGGGGTGCATACTTAATGCGATTTATGAATCTTTCACGTGATATCGCTTAACTTTCTTAAAAATTGAAAAATTAACTACTATGTCGCCTCATCAATATGAATTTCTGTCTCTTAGATTTGAAAAAAAAAACATCTGCTGAAATGATTGTTTTTAATTATTTTACTTAAATTATTTCCTCTATAAATCAGACTTATTTTCACAACAAAGAGACAAATTAATTCAGACAGTAAAAATGACTTGTGTAGTGACTGACATGCAGTAAAGTAAGTAACTACATTTCAACCTTCCATGTCCATTTACATTGTTTTAAATGAAATATTTTACAAAATCAGAGTACAACTTTGACTTTGCCGAAATCCTGTAATGTTTTATCTCCCGTTTCAATAACGTAACAGAATATTCAAAAGGATATATATCTTACCGTATTTTTCTTTTATGTAAACATTTCTTTTAAAATTACTACAAGATTATATCAAACCATGAGTTTCTTTTGATATATTACGAGCTGCATAATCTGACAGATGTAATAAAGTGAAAAAGTCCTTCAGATATTTTACAAAAACTTTAATTTTCTTGATTTAACTTTCAAAACATTGAGCACTGGTGATCACTGTATGGCATCATGCATAAAATGGACAGTTTCACGCAATAGATTACAGTGTTTGCTCTAAAGTTGCAGATTAGACGTTGATATAAATGGAAAGAGTGTTTTTGATTTGCTCTATAAATCATGGCCTCAATGCCATGTATGTGATAGAAGATGCATAGATCTCCCACTGTTCAATTGCACTGAATGCTGATAATAGGTTAACATTTCCAGCTACATGTAACCATCGGCTAGAGGTGTCGTTTCACCAAGAATATTTTTTAAGAAGCATTAAAAAAACTACTTAAAATAATTAGCATTTTCAAAGGCAAACGATGAATTTTCCAAAATTAATTGTAAGCGCGATGTTTGTACTTAGATGATATATCTCGAATCTTCTCATCACACCCGTGTTAAATTTTTTGCAAGACACTCGAATGTATTGAACACTGTATTACAAGTGTGTTATGCTGCTTCCACGTTTCATCAGCTTATAATTTCTAAGGGTTTCAGCAAAGTACTGAGAGGTGGAAGGCAAGAGCTTACCAACGTTGAGGCGTTTTGAAGCCTTGTTTCATTGAGAATATTTTTGAAGAAACATTAAAAAACAACTACTAAAAATAATTAGCATAACCGCATTCATCAAGGTAAACTTGATAGAATTTGACATAATTAATTATGGAGGTGAGCGTTTTAGCTGCTCATAAGAGACCCGTAACTAAAGAGTGCTGTCTTAGAGAGATCTCCTTTAAGAGTGTACTTAAAAGAAAGGACGTTTACAGAACACAGCAGTCATATATATAATATGATTATTTTTTATGTCAAAAATATATAACATATCCTTTAACTTAGATGAACACACGAGTGTTTATCATGGATTAGCATGTTAAATAAAGAAAACATTTTACTTATCTTATCTGCTAAACACAATATCTTTGGTAAGTAAGGAATATACGCAGAGGATAAATCCAGGGAATTTTCCTTCAATTTTCATTTTTAGGATAGGGATACAAATTTACTATCAAATCAAGTTATATATATTTGTTACAGAAATAATGTTTTGAAATGCTAAAACGTGATGAAAATTCTTTAATCACAATTTTTTTTGTAGCAAATCTTCGTGACAAAATTTCAAAATTGTTTCCACTTTTATGGAAGCATATTTTACCGAGCCAATAAAAATAACAAAGAAAATGGTCTGCATTTATATATAATCCGAAAAAAGATAAAATTTTTATTTCTTTAAAGACACAGATAGAATTATATAAACAGTTGATACTTAAAGCCACAATCAATTGAATGCATCATGCATTTATGAAAATTATTCACGGATTACCGATTTCATGGCTTCATGGACTATTTACTAAATTACAGCTTTCTTTGCATTGCATTACACGGTTGCTCCTTTCATCCAAAAATCTTCTGTTTTCATTTCTCTGAGGAACGGCACAAAGAACGGAACACTAGCCTTCTTAATTAATTTCTTTGCACGATATGGGACTTTCTCTCAGTAGCTGGAACTTCATTTTATAAATCCACAAGATGGTGGAATTTGTTAACTGTTTGGAAATCCCCAGCAAATTTTCGTAGTTGAGATGGTCGATTGGAGGCTTTGTTTTGATGTGGAGAGACCATCACTTTTTTTTCTCTGTTGATATTGGAATACGTCAAATGAAGAAAATATAGCAATTCATCAGGCTAATAATAAGCAACAGTAAGACTATTTCTGTAATGTTGGACTTCAATTTTTTCGCTGAGGAAGCACATCTGCAATAGCAAAGACAATTTCTTTTATTAAACCAGAAGAACAAAATATTATGTAGTAACATATTATTTTTCAATATAAAATTTCAAGAATTGTATTATTAATTCTTTTATGAGCTATGTGTCATTAATATAAATATAGAAAACTCACTGTACATCACAACTGTGTGATGTTTCCTTTTTATTTGTTTGTGCCTTTGTCGTATGAAGATTACTCTCTAGTTTGTAACATGTCTGATCTGGAGTAAGAGTTAATTTTGAAAATTTCCTTCAGATTTCATGTCATAAATAGATGCAAAAAAGAGTGATTAAAGTTTACAAAGGCCATCAATTTAAATGAAACGATCAATAAGAAGTTTCGTAATTAAAGATAAAGTAAAAGACTACCCGTACATTTGTAAGCTTCGTCTGAGGAGTAATGAACTGGGCAAGTGATATCAGCGTCTAAACATGAGTGCTCGAAGTTGGTTTGAATCCTGGTGCCTTCTTCGTTATACTCTGCACATTTGTCTTTACAAAAGGAAAACATTTACAAATATATTATAGTATGGTTAATGAAATAAGTATAACATGATAATGATTTTTAAATAAATTGGTTATGTTGCAGCAACGTTTTTGTTTTCCATGATGGGATATTGATTGGCAAGACTAGAGGTCATTTTTTAATAAAATTTCTACATGTTTCAGGTTTTGAAGAAGAATCTGCAAAGATATAAAACAATCAATCGATAGATTTAAAAAGAGAAAATCAAAAATCATTTTATAGATACAATATTCTTTTCTAATATATAAGGTTTGAATTCTTACGCAGAACAATTGATTTTTTAGGTGCGCAGACTTCTATGGTCTTGTTCCAAAATGAGTTTGGCAGACAATGATAAACAAAACGTTCCGGTCTGGTACATGATTGAAGAACGGATCCACATCTCATGAACTCTTCCCTCTTTCTCCATTCCTCTGGAGTTGTAGGGCAATGTGAGACTTCACGAACAGTTTCCCGAGATTTAAGGCAGATTCCATAAATATTTTTAATCTGAAAGTTGATAAAATCAGCTAAAAAATTCTAAACCTTAAATAGAAAAAAAAATTTTTTAGGTGAAAACAATTCTAATTTTAATCTAGGTTATATGTGCACACAGTACCAAATAAAATATAGATTTTTTTTCCCATTAATATTATTAAGTGAAATCATTTCAAGTAATCATAATGTTTTATAAATAGCCTACATTCTTATGTTTCCTGCCTGAGGCATATTCAACCATTATGTTTGTTATAGCAATAACAGCAAAGATTTCCTCCAAATTTATATGCATATCCTTTTCTTTCTTTTCCTCAAATGGAACCTTTAAATATATATATATTAACTGATTTCACAAATTTCGATTTGATTTTTTGATACTTTGTTGAGCATTTTTATTTATAATGAATGCAGAAAGAAATCAAAATCTACGAAAAGGAATTTCAGTTAATACTGTTCCACTCTTTATATCTGATTCAAAAATCTATATTTGTTGAACCTAATTTTTTTTGGAGTTAGCCTACCTTAAAGTAAGTAAAGCTGTTGAGATGCAAATTGAGGTACTGAAAAATGCAATTTGACAGCCAATATATATCAAAATATATAAATTCAAGGAATAGATAAGAGTATTTGCTCTAAAGTTGCAGATTAAGACGTTTATATAAATGGATAGAGTGTTCTAGAGTGGCAGAAAAAAAAGGAGAGAAAACCGTCGGATTTCGGAAAGTATAAATTTCCATTCAGAATAGAGTATCAAGGACTGTTTTCGTTTGATTAGATATGTGTTTTAAATTCCTTCAATGCATATTGATATCCTTACTATGCATGTATTTATACCCCAAGGGATTTTTATTCAGTCTAATAATAGCAACGTTTACAAAGTATATACTGAATCATTGTACATTATAATGAAATAGAGCTGCACCAAAGACAGCATTTCGTATTTATCTATATTTCTATAGTGAAACATATTTTATATTATTTACTTTGCACTATCTAAATTCAAACTGAAAGTAGACTTACAGTTGTCCAAAAAAGTCGTAGACAAGGAAAACAGTTTAGTTTCTCATTGCTAAATTAAATTTCTTTCCTTGTCATAGCAAAATGTAGCATTTTATAATCATGAATTGCAAGGGTCACATTGAAAAAGAAAATTAGGAAAAAATAAAGAAAGTATATGAGTGTATATAGGCGCACAAAAGCAAGCGTAATTTACGTCATGGTCTCTTTTTCTTCTTCAAACATATCATCTGACATTCTAAAATTTTAAAAAGTGAAAGATACATTAAAATTCACTACTGTCCGGATTTTTTTATGTGGGGGTTGTTTCCTTTTTCCAGTAGATTCAAATTAAAGTGGAAATTTAATCGAAAGATCTTACACTGAGGCAGCAGAGAATACAAATTGTTTGACGTCGTTTGTGGCCCAGATTGTTCCCCATTGTCTGCGTTTAACAAACAATCTAGCAATGCTGTAATTATTTCCGGGAACAGTAAAACTAAAATCTTATTTTAAAATTATCTCTTTAAAATCTAGTGTGCAACGTCACTTATATACACCTTTTCCCCCTCTCTGATATATATAAACAATATCCAAAACAATTCATTACATCTCTGTGCGCCGGTTACACGTTTGACCGACGACGTCATGTTTATCAAATTCAATTTCAACAACACTTTGAAAATTATGACACCAATCGTTTTTTCTGATGCTATTCATATGAAATTTTGCATAATTATTTAGATTTTGATTCTCGTTTAACTGATTTAAAGAATCAGAGCGTTCTTTGAGAGAGTGCAAATTTTTTAATCCCCTATATGTAGAGTATGTTTTATATACATATATGAAAAGGTGTATGTTTTCCGTTTCTTTGTTTTTACAATATATTTACTGAATCTTTAATGTTACATTAAATTCAGTCATGTTTATCCGTATCTGAGTTTTTCTTTGCATTTGAAATCAAGGAATGGCATGTAAAGGATTTTAACCCATCATCCTTAATAATATTTGACATTCATCATCCCCGTCAAAGACGAAATATTATAACTTATATATATCATCTTCTTTCTAGATTTTTTTCTATTGAAATCAATATATTTACGTACAGATTAAACTTCTAGACATTGTTCATTACATTAATGTAAACAATGTTACCAAAGAAAATACGTTTTCTAACTAACATTATATAACATCAAAGTAATATGAAAATAAAAGCCAGTATGGGTTTTCAAATATATATATATATATATATAAATATATATATTTTTTCCTTGTTTTATATATATATATTCAAAACGCATGTTATACAAGAGGCGTATTTTCAACGCAAAAGCACATAGTCACAATAGTTATTTTTGGTCTGACTATGCAGGAAAAAATATTATTTATATCTTATTTTCAAACATAATCTTTTAAAAAGGTATGGAAGTTTAAATCAGAAACTTTTTTAGCATGGTACTGGGTCTTCCATCTTTTTTTTTTATCATGATATGTTTTTTTTCGGATCAATTTCTCTTCTTTGATCAATATAAATTCTGATTAAGTCATCCATTTTTAGAAGATCTTATAAGTGTGAAAAAAACAGTAAAATAAATGTATGAGTAATCTTTTGGTTTATATTTAAGAGCGATTGTATCGTGAGCAAAACACATAAGTAAAACAAGATGTATTTGTGAAACACTATGCACCCGGCGGCAACAAAATAAAAAAGGCTATTTTAGCATATAGGTCACAGTCAAGGTCACAAGGCCATTGACCTTGGTGTCATTTGAAAGAGCTTTATAGTGGAGTATGTATACCAAATATGAAGTTTTTATCTTTCATGGTTCATAAATTTCTGGCGAAGGTTAAAGTTTGCAGACAAACAAACAAATAAACAATCAAACAGTACAGACGAACAGACAACACAGGACAAAAACAATATACGCCCCGGATCTATCGATCCGGGCGCATAATTACAGCAGAGTTATCCCCTCCTTTAATTTGAGTGTGCTTTGATGACAGTGATGTGTTTGCCCAAGACACTATTAGAAATCCAATGTTAATGCAAGTAGGTAGCGATTAAAATAAAAAAATAAAAACTGTATCATTTATTTATTTGTTGATAACATTCGGTAATATTATTTTTTTCATCTATTGCAAGAATCCATTTCTTTTTAAAAAGTTAGGCAAAACTTACTCAAAATAGGACTTCACAAATATATGAAGTGCAAGTAGCATTCAAATCAGATAAAAAGAATTCAACTTTGACAAATATAAACGTATATTTCGAGAGTTTCAAAAATTGGATGAAATTTTTGGCAAATTTGAAATAATACCATTTTAACAAAATCAACAACAGTAAACCTTTCGTCTTTTTTACTATATATACAACCTTTCCCCACGATAAATTACAACCAAGTCTGTTTTATATCATTTACAACTGCTTTGGCAATAGAAATCGAAATTTACTTTCCTCGTCATTGGTTTTCTTTAAATGTAATTTGTTAAAACATTCTAAACTTGTATACACATGTACTTTGATTCAGGGCCATTGAACAGGGAGGTTTTTTTTTCAAAGCTCAAAAGCACATACGTTCAAAAGCACGATCTCCATTCCCACAGAGAGATTTGCAACACGAAATATCAACTGCCTTACTTCGAGACTTTAGGAAAATAACAACTTTGTTGATTCCTGTTATATAGCTTAGTGGTTTTCTTCTAACAATCTATTAGAAACCCGCTGGATAACAATTGCACCCCACCATTAGCAGACCTATTTTATATTTATAAGAAGCAGAATGTGTCTACAATCATAATGATCGCCAAAGATACAAAACAAATGTACATTGTGTTGTATTGACGATGCACTTGTCAATTGACTATAATTATGTCTATTTTCATGCTTTTCACGGTTTTAAAATCACTATACTATGTTGAAAAATTTTAATATTTGTATTTTAAATTCGGATCAAATTCTTCTTTTATTGAACGTGATGACTTATATGCAACGTTAACTGTGCAATCGTCAACTCACCTAACTTATATTGAATATACCTTTATCACCTACATACGGGGTGTGCATCTCTCAATTGAATTGTAACATAAAAGCTCATGCTCTACGTAGAATATTTCTTAAGCATGAAAATTACATGAATTTGAATGGACAAACAAGTTGATGACAGTACTGTAAATAGTCATCATTTTGTAAATTTTATGGTCGTTACAATGACTATGTCAGCAAATTCAATAAATCATTTAGTCAAATGCAGACTGAGTATTTTCATACTTATTGATACGTCATATTTACACACTTAATTATCGACGGATTTTTCCTTTATTCCCTCGCAGGTAGGTTAAGGTTACAAGCAAATATTCTACTTGCCTATACATGTATGATATAACGTCATAATAAGCTATATGACGTGAGATTTAGAGATAACAATTTCTTAAAATCCAGATTGATTTGAGGTCGTAAAAATTATACAGGAAAATATCAACAATTTGTCGTTTGTGTGTGCACAGGGCTACATACCAAACCCGTGTCATAACTGTTGATCAAAGATTGAAAGTGAAAAGTGAATAAAAAACACAAGGGGAATTTAAAAGCATCATGTGTGTTTATACGGTCTCATCCAAAGGACGATACCCATCATGCCCCACAGAGGGATTCAGACCAGCAACATGTAAGGATCAACTCCTTACTTCGAGACTTTAGGGCAGACGCTCTATAGCCACTTTGATGACTGAATCCCTGATTGACAATATGTAGCTTAGTGGTTTTCTTCTAACAATCTATTAGAAACCCGCTGGATACCAATTTGCACCGCCATTAGCACACCTATTTTATATTTATATGAAGCAGAATGTGTCTAAAATCATAATGATCGCCAATGAGGAAAATACATGTACATGTACATTTTGTTGTATTGACGACGTATCTTCAATTGACTATAAGTATCTCCATTTTCATGTCGATTCGAAAAATCAGGATTAGCTTAAAATAAGAGATATGCTATACCACCGAGTCCGAAAAATACCTTTAATATTTGAATATTTTATAATTAATTGATAAAGAAGACAATTGTTATTTATAACAACCAAGCTTTATGATGAACTTGATGACTTACATATAGCGTTAACTTTACAATAGTCAACTGACCTTATTTATATTGAATTCAATATACACCTTCATCACCTACATACGGGGTGTGCATCTCTCAATAGATTTGTTACATAAAGTTCACGCTCTACGTAGAAGGTTTCTTAAGCGATGTAAATTACATGACTTTGTATTGACAAACAAGTTGATGACATTACTGTAAAAAGTCATCATTTTGTAAATTTTACGGTCGATACAATGACTATGTCAGCAAATTCAATTAGTCATTTAGTCAAATGCAGACTGACTATTTTCATACTAATTGATAGATCATATTTACACACTCAATTGTCGACGGATTTTTCCTTTATTCCCTGATCGAGAAAAGGGAAACACGGCAAATTATTGACCAGTCGGCAGTGGAAAATCACTTCTCAATGGCAACAGTTCCTACCTCTGATGTTTTGGAGGTCCATAAACTTCTGCACCTATGTGTATTGTTTACTGGAATTTGAATTTAAATAAAGTTAGTTATCTCCATGTAGTTCATTTATGTTTTAAAACAGATAGAACCATAGAAATTATTTTTAAAAGAAGACGATATGTAAGAGTCCTTGATTTTTCCGTTTGATGTTCTTTTTTAAGTGCAAAAAACTTTGTGTAATAAGTTTTTACAGGTGTACAGTTTCTGTTGTCAGTGGGTCATTTAAAAACATCAATTCGAGGTGTATTTAAATATTAGCGTAATTTATACAGGTACAACTGCCTACACGTTATCTAACACAGTGAGGATTTACAAGCTCAGCGCATAAATTCACACAGATCTGGGTCACCTTCTGCTTTCATTCATAATCCATTTTAAAAGTACATTTAAAGGTCTGTTGGAAAATTTCAGTTGTAAATAGAAGTAAGTCAGCGAGGAAGGTATGCATTTTAAATAATACCATATTTTTTCTATACATATTCTTTGTAAATTCTCATCAGAGGAATAGTCCTGTTTACAGATTTTTTTTTTTCATTTATTTTATACACAACAATCATTTTTTAATGAATGAATTTTACTTGATGTGAACCTTGAAAATTCATATACGAAGTAATAAGACTGGCTATATCATTAATCATTTATTTCATGCATGGCTTCCTTACTTATACACAATGCACATTTTAGCGTTTGATATAGCGGAAAAGTATCAAATATGAAACTGTCTATATCAATATTTTGAAATAATTATGTACATGTAGATCCTTTTCATAATGTTTTATTATTTGTAATTTTATTCCCACTGTCTTGTTTTTCTTCTATGTATCGAGTTGCAATTTCATTACTTGTATTGCTACCCTAAAAAGGAATGCTTTTTATTTTATTTATCGTTTAAGAAATCTAAGCATTGAAACTACAAATAAGTCCAATTTTACAAAATAAAAAATCAAGACTACTCTAAAAGAAAAATGTTTCTTCTTTTAATCAAACAATGAATCAATACATGAAGTAAAATCGACTATCCTTGACAGTTTGTAATTAACAATCGTGTTTTACTGTACAATGAACCTGTGAGACGCACTGCTTTTAAAATAATTGTAATCACTGTACAAGTGGCGAAATGAACTCTGTATTGAAGGTTGGGGTAATTTTCCCCTTTCGTATGAGCAAACACATTTGAAGTTTTTTCCAGAAATACTGTACACACACAATGAGTTCTGAAAATGACAAAATCAAACTAATCAAACACAAAATTTCAAATTAGTTATGCACAGTTATTCCTTCACATTTAGGCAATGTTGATGATGGAAATCTATTAAGATTTTTCCATGGATTCTATAGAAAGAAGAACATAAAGAGTCTGCCGATGAACAGAACACCTATTGAGTAGTTTAATATTAAGAAGTCTTCGAAAATACTGCTATGGGACTTTTCGAATCTTCGATTAGAGGACATTCTGAAAAGAAATAAAATTTTATTATAGTAACTTTCAGATCTCAAACTTTCATTTGATATATTATGAAAAGAATATTTTTGATTTGGTTACCTATTCATGACGTGCGGGGTATCTTGAGAATGTTTCCTTTTGACGATATTGTAACATTCCTGATCTAAAACAGAAATAATAATAAGTAAAATTATCTCAGGTAAGAATATGTTTTAAATAGGGACTTTATACGCCTACTTATATGTATGTATTAGAAACCTTAAGTTGTTCTTTGTCTTAATTTCTTTTACATGTTTTCAAAATTATTTTGAAGTACAAACAGGGGAAAACAAATGAAAAAAAAAACTTCAAAAATTCGATCAAATAGTTATGTATGGAAACTTACACAAATAAGCTGTATCAGAGAGATATACATCTGGACATGGATTTTTAAAGTCTTTGCAGTCAGAACTCATGTGTTCTTGAACTACGGCCCCATCATAATTGTATTCTGCACATTTGCCTTTAAAGTATGAAGCAATATCATGGAGAATTTCTTTTTATCTTTTCTGTATCTGTTAATCTATTAGAAAGGACAATAATTCCCCACATACCTATTATATTGACTCGCCGTGCACAAACTTCTAATGTCGCATTTTCCCAAGAATTTATGAGACAATGGTAGAGGAATGTATCATTACTTGAACAATTCTGTGGGATGCTTGAGCAGCTTTTCTTCATTGCTGCATCCAACCATTCAAATTCGTCCTTTGGACATTTCTCAACGTACTTAACGGTGCCTCTGGAAGCTGGACATGTCATCAAAGGCTGCAAATTAAAGCAAAAAGACAGCGTTCAATTATGTTTACAACTTATGAAATTATGATAATCACTTTTTTATTGCTTATTGCACATTAACAAAAAAAATCAGGGTTTGTGTTCCAAATCTCATAATTACACAAAAAATGTCATATATATTCATTTATCAGTAGTTGTAATGTACATGTACAACATTACTTCAGAAATTGTGACAATATTTCATTTCAATTTTAACTTCTTTGTTGAATAACAAAACATAAATTATTTTGACCATTGAATACCTGATTGGCAGAGGCAGTGCAAATAAATTGCAGTAAGAGCAGCATAGATAAAACAGGGTGACTCTGTGTGACCAGCAGGATCTTATGAAACATAATTTTTTTCTTTCTTCTCAATTTCTTTTTCAAAATGGTTTAATTCACAAAGTAGAGGTGATCAAACGACGTGCTGTGATGATATAAACAATAAAAATATTCTGATTTCATTTCAGACTTAACGCGTACACGGTCTGTTCGTAGAGGATCGGGTAATTATATCTTTGAAAATTTTTCTTTTCATGTTGATCGGGTATTTTTCCCCTAATTATATTAAGCATTATATATTTCCGTAAATTTTAGAATGCGTACCCCTTGTGTTCAGAATTCAGAATAAATACTGGAATAGCTTAATTATATTTTTACGAGTATTTATAGCATGTATAACTTTAAAAATATTTCGTAATTGCTACGATTTTCTATCACGTAACATACTCTCTTTAAGTATAAGACTTTTAGCAATCTACAATATAAATAAATATTACGTTCTTTTTTTTCATATTATATATGCTTAATATTATTAATATATGACCATAAGTACTTATTCTTCTAAGAATAGCTTCATTGTTAAAAGCTATTCACTAGAAAATACCTTTGCATTAAAAATATTAATATTAAAATTCAGATACTTCTTGTTAAAAGTTCTAGGTGGAGTTAAATTTGTCAGACATGCATATTGAACGTTTATTACATCGTATGCATCTGTTGGTATTTTTCTTATGCCGTTAATGACAAGCAAGCCGTTTTCTTTCATGATTTTAGTAAATATTGAGATTATTAACCCTGTGGTGTATGTCCCCTTCGCCGGGACAAGAAATTGAAACAAAATTTTATTTCTCTTATCGTTCAAATAAATAAATCAAATTCAGTACCTGCATGTTTGTATCATTTTGAAGCATTTTCCATTTATTTATTTATCTATTTTATATATCAATTCATTAATTTGTTTTATAAATGGATGATTCTGACTTCATGGCCAAAACTGGACGTGTTTGATATTGTTTAGGGCTCTGGATCTTATTTTTAAAAATTAATTTCCAATGGGCTGCCCCGAATTATTATGCAGAATTCTATAAAAGCTTTGAAAATATCCTCTTTTATCCGCACAATCATGATAATGGAACCTTATTCAAGAAGACATAAAAAGAAACATTACTAAATAATGTTCACACAATTCAGTTATCATCTTATCTTAACAAAGGAAAGGAAGACAAATTATTTGATTTGAATAATTCGTACTTGCCTTATGCTCAAACAAAACATCACTGAAATGACAGGAACATGTAATTTTTAAATTTCAGAAAATTTACTAAATTTTTGTGATGCAATCGAAAATTCCCAATTATGTTAACTGTAGCTGAGAGAGTTTGTTTACATCATAAATGATTTTTTCTGTTTGTTATTTCAGCTACTTCTTTCACTTTAACTTGAATCCTTTTCTTTTTACAATGTACATGCTTTTAACTTATTATTATCGCTATTTCAATTGTTACGGTACTAAAATTCTTACGACATATGTCTCATTCTATTGTATTTCAACGTTTGAAATACAATATTCAATATAACTCATTGAAAATGCGATATCGTTCAAAGGTTAACGATTTTAAGTGTCCAACGTTTAGTTTTGAACGCGGAAGGTTAAAACTTGGAAAATCATTAGGCTTTTGATATGATAACAAATGTCACGCATATTGTTCCTAATGTGGGTTTGCCTACAGTTTGTCGGTCAAAATATTTCTCAATCAGTTTTCAAAGCCTCGAGTAAGTGTAAAATACACGTAGCAGAACATAATTTTCTGTCGCATTGAATGTTTTTCAGTTTTTAAAACAAATTACATCGTAAAATTTAGATAGACGGACTTTTTTTAATTCTGAAAAAATATAAATAAGAATCAGTTTTTTAAACAAACTTTTGATTTGAATTTCAGTGTATGAGTTCTATCACAAATAGTGCACTTTTGCAAATTATACACTGTATACTAGATTTTTTAAAAAAACATTTTAAAAAACAAATATCGAAAATCAAATATTTAAATCTATCGAAAACATGAGAAAATATTTCTTTCTTTAAAAATCACTATGAAATAAACGTATATTTTCAACCGTTAATAAACAAATTATTTTGTGAAATTTCAATGACAAATTATATTTTAAAAGACATTTATAATGTCCATGCATACAATTATTCTTGAAATTAGAACCTTCACATGTATTAGCTTCAAAAATATTTGCTTTCACTGATTTACATATTTTCATAAAAGCAATATCTAGAGAGCAATTGCCCGAACAATTCAAGTGGCTAAGCTTTGCCTTACTGATCGTCAGAGAAATCTAATATTCTGTCATAATTATATTTATTAAAAATTTAGCAAACCATAATGCTGTTACTGAACACTTACAGGGCAGGCGTTAATTTGAAACCGATGCTAGAAAAGTCATTTATTTCAGTTTTTTAAAAGTGGAATAATTATTTTAAATTATGAGGAAAGGATTAAGATATATAATGAGAAGTTATTGAACTTATATTGTTGTCCTAAGAGTCTTACTCTTAGGATCTGTGAGTACTGTATACAGACCTATCTTCGCCCCGAGCTATTTTCGCCTTTTCACACTTGCTGAAAAGTATGTCCCGTTTTAATTCGCCTAGTCAATATTTTTATTTAAGAAATTATACTGTATATTCTTTGAATTCGTCCCATTTTAAATTCGCCCAAATAAGAGTAGGGCGAAAGGGGTGAAAATAAATCAGGGGCGAAAATTTCTCTGTATACAGTAACTAACATTAATAATATAGGGTTATTGAACTGATATTGGTAAATATTGGCACGAGTTGGCTATTCAAATGCGCGAGCTTGCAAGTTCAACAATATAAGTTCAATAACTTCTTATTATATAGCTTAAACATTTCCTCATAATTTATAATAATTATTCCACTTTTAAAAAAACTGAAATAAATGACTTTTTTAGCATCGGTTTTCAAATTAACGCCTGCCCTGTAAGTGTTCAGTATCGCATCATTCCGATGACCCCACCGAGCATTATGGTTTGCTTATTTAGGTTTTAATGGGTCTTATACGTACTAAATTTTTAATAAATAATTTAATTTTATGTGTAAAAATAAACACAGATAAATCCTTACGTCGTGAGTTCGAATCTCACTTTAGAATGTGCACCTGGAGGCCCCGTGTTTTGGCACGAAAAAGGTCCCTCCCTGCTCAAATGCCCTGAATGCTGAGTATGGGACAAAATTTGCAGCTCTCCATCGGCAAATAGTGGCGTCTCCATATGAGTGAAAAATTCTCGAGAGAAGCGTTAAAGAATACACAATCAATCAATCAATCAATCAATCAATCAAAGAACGTGCGCGTTTGTTTGAAGAAAAGTGTTACTAAGACATCTTTAATTTTAGGATTTATTGTTGAAAATACTGATATTCAAAAAGAAAATATTTTTTAGCATACATGTACAGAAAGAAAAGGTCAGTTCTATCATTATCTTTAATATTTTTAATTGCCTACTATTCATCATCTCCATATATTTTTGATTTATTTTACAATATAATTTTACCAAAAAAAAATTCATTTACATACACTTTATTTATGACTATTGATATAAATCAAGACCTTATAAGAGCACATTTTAGAGCGGAAACGTTTGTTTTAGGATATACATTCAAAAACGAAAGAAATGCATTTCTACAGTATCTATAATGTAAGAATCCTCTTTATTATTATGTTCTATTTCTTTTAAAGAGCGAGTTCGTCACGGGTGTACAATTTCTGATGTCAGCAGGGCAGTTCAAAAAATCAGTACAAAGTGTATTTAAATGTTATCGTAACTTATACAGGCACAAATGCTAGTACATGTTATCTAACAGTGCCGTTGTATATTACACTCAGTGCATGCATTCATAAAGATCTGGGTCACTCTTTGCATACATTTAGTGTATTTAAATGTTTGTTGAATAGAAAATTTTCAGTTTTATAATAGGAGTAAGTCACCGTGTAAGGTAAATATTGTAAATATAACAAGGTTTTCTATATTTTTAGTAAATTTTTGTCTCAACAGAGGATTGCCTTGCCTTTTTTTATATTTTATTTCTATAAACAAAAGTGTATTTTTCATGAACAGATTAAACGTTATGTACATGTAAAGCATTGAAATTTCGTTCAAAATACTCATGATTGTATCAGAAATCTTTTATGCATTGTCATTATTTTTCATGCATCAACACATATACATAGTTCATATTTCGGCTTTTAATCATCTGAATTGTATCAAAATATGAATTTAAAATACGATATTTTTTAATAATCATGCCTGCAACTTTTGTTTTAACTATTTGCAATGTTACCCAAATTTCATGTTTTTTTTTCTATATATTGATAATTCCATTCCTTTGTACATGTACATGCTTCAAGAATCTTTGAACTTCTCAGAAAGGTCAAATTAAAAGTAGAATTTTTTATCCCGTAAAAGCAATTTTAGATACCAGTGTTTATTAACATGATATGAAATTAAAAAATGAGCTTTGGGGCTTTGCAAAGAACCTTAAAGCATATTGAGAGGCATTTAATGAAAATTGTTGCATGAAAATATTTAATTTTCAAGCTTCACTTAAAGACTTTTTGAATTAATTAAAATTAAAGAGTTCTCCTTCCTGGCTGAGGGTCAGAGTCCCTTAAGAAGCAATTACAAACACGACAAATAAATTGATAAATATATTCGATAAAATTTTATTTCTTAATCTAATTACAGTTTTTTGCATTGCATTGATAAAATGCACATGATTGGTCCTTTCAATCCAAATCCTCTATTTTTATTTCTCTGCTGAACGACAGAAAGAAAGGGACATAGCATTCCAAATATTTTTCCCTTCATGATGAGGAAGGTACTTTCTTTCAGCTACTAGAACTTCATGCAAAATTCCACAAGATGCATTTCTGACAGTGGAACGTCTTTTCTAAAAGAAATTCCTTGGAAATTTTCACAGTTTAGATGGTCGATTGGAAACTTTGCTTCGATCTGAAGAGACCATCACTCTATTGTTTCAATAGATATTGGATTTAAGACCTCAAATGAAGAAGATATGTCCATCCACCAAGGTAATAATCAGCAACAGTCTGACTGGAACGTCTTTTCTAAGCGGAAATTCCTTGGAAATTTTTATAGTTTAGATGGTCGATTGGAAACTTTGCTTCGATCTGAAGAAACCATCACTCTATTGCATCAATAGTTATTGGATTTAAGACCTCAAATGAAGAAGATATGTCCATCCACCAAGGTAATAATCAGCAACAGTCTGACTGGAACGTCTTTTCTAATCGGAAATTCCTTGGAAATTTTCACAGTTTAGATGGTCAATTGGAAACTTTGCTTCGATCTGAAGAAACCATCACTCTATTGCATCAATAGTTATTGGATTTAAGACCTCAAATGAAGAAGATATGTCCATCCACCAAGGTAATAATCAGCAACAGTAAGACTATTGCTGGAATGTGGGACTTCAATTTCTTTGCTGAGGAAGAACACCTGCTTTAGAAACAAAATTGTATTTGTTAAGAGCCAAAATAAACAAAAATATTAGGTAAAAAAAAACATTATTTTATACCGGGGTATAATAAAATGTCATGACATTACCTATTATTCCTATTATAAGTTATATTTCATTGATGTAAATATAGGGAAAAATCTCACTTTGTAGCACAGGGGTGTGTTGTTTCTTTATTATTTGTTGCAGCATTTGTTGTGTGGTAATTACTCTCTAGTTTGTAACATGATTGATCTGCAGTAAACAAATAATCTTAAAAATTTCCATCTGACATCATTTTAAGTATAAAACGATGCAACAGAGAATGGATAAAATTAAGAATTTTAAACGAAGGATCAATAAGAAGTTTACTCATATAATATCAATTAAAAGACTACCCGTACATTTGTAAGCTTCGTCGGAGGAGTAATAAACCGGACAAGAAATACCAGCTTCTAAACACGAGTGCTCAAAGTTGGTTTGAACTCTGGTGCCTTTTTCGTTATACTCTGCACATTTGTCTGTACAAAAAAAACATATTTACAACGTTGTAAGAATATGGTTACTGTATGAAGTATAAAAATGACATGATTTTAATGAACTGGTGTATGTTGCAGCAATGTTTTTCGTCATGATGGGATATTGAATAGCAAGAGTAGAGAGCACTCTTAAAGTTCTACATGTAGCAGGTTTTGACGAAGAATTTTCGAAAATATAAAACAATCAATCGATAGATTTAGAAAGAGAAAATTAAAAATCATTTTATAGATAAAAAATTCTTTTCTAATTTATATTTTTTTTAATTCTTACGCCGAACAATTTGTTGTTTAGGTGCGCAGACTTCTATGGTCTTGTTCCAAAATGAATTTGGCAGGCAGTGATATACAAAACGATGAGGTCGGGTACACGATTGAACAACGGAGCCACATCTCATAACCTCTGCCCTCTTTCTCCTTTCCTCTGGAGTTGATGGACAATGTGAGACTTCCCGAACAGTTTCTCGAGATTTTGAGCAGATTCCATAAATATTCTAAAAAGTAAGAAACGAAAAATAAACAAAAATATTTCATTGAAAAAAGAATGGGTTTTAAATAAAATCTATTTTATTTTTATACATGTTGTTAGGTATTTTGCACACAGTACTAATTGCGAAGGGGAAACTCAAAATTTTTTCATTGTTTCTTTACTATTGTTTTGTGAAAATCCTGTTCTTTACAAAAACAAATATGGGAAATGATATTTAATGAAGGCCTACATTTCTGTGTCTTCTGCCGGAAGCATCTTCAACAACCATTATGTATAAAATAACAACAAAAACAAGGGCTCCCTCTGAGTTTAGATGCATTTCCTTTTTCTTTTCTTTAATTATAGAATTCTGTGGGAAAATATAAAAACTGATTTAAAAAAAAGTCAATACTGAAATACTTTGATAAATTGTTTGTTTTATAATTAGTACGGAAAAAAAAAATTAAATCATTGGAGAGAAATTCTTATCTGTACCGTTTTTTTTAAATTTTATTACTTATAAAAACTACTTTGTTGCATATGTTTCTCTGGGAGATGACCTACCTTTAAGTAAGTAACACTCTAGAGATGTATAATATATTTAATGAAAAAAACGCTTGCCTTGCCTTGAATTTATAACTCTTTTGGGGAATTTTCTGTAAATTTAATAGTTTCTAGGGAGTTTTTCTTTGCATGATTA